CCAGATATTTGTCGGAATCAGAGCAACTTATTGGCCTATTCGGCTCCTTCGCAACACACTTCACCCGCAGATTAAAGAGCTCACGGTGAAGGCATCGTTTATTTTCCGTTGTTGATGTTTTTTTAGTTGGCTTTTTCATTTCGCTTTTTCTGTTTCTCTTCTCATGCCCTTCTTTATTTTTTGTTGTTGTCTCTTTCACTGACTCAAACCGGTTAGCGTTTCTTCATTTGGAGCTTATTTTTTGGCAAACCTTATTTCTTTGTAGCATTTTTCTCTCGTGTTATTTTTCACTACCATGCCGGGATGTTTGGTTTATATGCACATATATATAGGGTATTCATTCGCCTGTTAAAAGGCTTGAGATAGAGACCTGGCCGGTGGAGATAGCGTAGCGGACATTAGACGCTTCACCAGCGGAACGCCAAGAAGAGCATCCAGGCACCAAATGAACCATAAAGCCGGATTTTGAGAAAATATTCGTCAGCCCTGAACAATGGCCACTTTTCATCCGATGGAAATAGATTATGCTCTCCTTTTGTCTTGTGTCTGTAGAAGGAGTTCATTTGCTTCCTGATGGACGCGGTAAGCTGGGCCGGAGGCGGTGGGCTAGGAGGGAGGGGGAGGGGGAGGTAGTGAAGGAGGGGTGATGGGACGGGAGTGAGGGAGGGGGTGAAAGAGTTAGGGAGGGGGGTGTGGAGGATGAAACAGAGGGTGGAAAAAGAGGGAAAAGGGGACAACAGGATGCAGAGAGAGAGAGAGAGAGAACATGAGACGGATGGTAATGCAGAACATTTAGAATATAAATAAAGAGTTTTATCATTACTGAAGAACTTTATTCTTGCATATATATATGTTTTTTGACATTTCCACGTTCCCAAACTCGGGTCTAGAGCCTTTCACACCATTTGAGCGCTGCAAACCCTGCCTGGGGGATCAAGGTCGTGTTTATACTACATTATCCCGGCAAGGAACCATGTGGTCCACCGCTGATCTCCTCGTGACAATTAGATTTTACCCTGTCTCTTCGGGTTTACTGTTAATATGGTATCTTTCGCTTGCGTGCGAGTGTGAACACTCACCTAGGTGTCTGTAATGGGAATGAGCTACGCTTCTTTGGCCTCGCTTTTCAGTCCTTAATAGACAGGTGTGTGTGTGGGTGTTATAGAGCCTATTGACTCTGTCATATCTTCATTTAAAGTTCTGAATATAGCTTATTCCATTTGTTTACTATTATCCAGAGTATTATGTATGTAGTGATCGTGTTTCATCTTCTTCATGTGACACGAGATGCTTCGTATAAAACAAATATTTATTGTTAATAGAAATAATGAAAACACAAGCCACAAGAGACGAAGTTGTTTATACGTTTTCGTACAATTTTCAACTGTATTTTGGGAAATTAATTTTGAATGCCATGTTGGAAGATTAAACTGGCTGCGGCTCTTAAGTGCCTTTTAACTAAATTTTCACGATTAACAGTATACAGCTGAATGCCCGTTTCCTTGTTTTTTTGAGTGATTAAATAAATTCCTATTTTTACCTTATTGACTGCCTCGATAACAGCCTTGCTTCTTGTATGGTCGGCGTTCGATTACGGATGGCCCAACCCAGTGTTGCTTTAGCGTCGAGCCAACGTCACTCGTTAATACAACGTCGAATCATTGTCGACGCTGATTGATCATGGAATTAACGTTAGACTTGCATATTGTACCCACTATAAAGTGGTTGGCTTTACCAAGAAGGCAACCTACCTGATATTCTGATATTTACCTATCTGATAGGCAACTGGAATTTATTACATGTCCTCATATCCCTTCCAAGTGCGATACAGGCACACTTAGCAAATGTAATTATACAAAACTTAGCGATTGTATTACGTTCACTTGACAATGCCTCATTTTCTGAGTATCTGGCTGACAGATACACAGAAAATGAGTGTCTTGTCAGCTGACGTGTTTTCCTGGGGTCTCCAAGGGGATAGAGCACAATGCTTAATCATTAAGTGTTTCAAAGTTAATCGTTAACTTTACAATAGAATCAGTTAATTTCGTGGAGTTTTCCATCTAATCTTATCCCTTAGTTCAAACATTGGAAAATCAAATTCCATTCAGAGACCTGAAAGTTTTAATAACTCCGAGCTTTGGATTGTATCAAGCCCTTCGGTCTGCATTTCAACGACCGGATCGAACCCTGGGATATTTATTTTTTCCGTGTGCTCTTAAGTCTAGATATTTTACAAATGTCCAAATTGGTTACATTTAGTCTAAACTTTATTAAGGCGCTGACTTTTATCTTATTTCATATGAGAAAATAACTGATGCCCTCCCTGAATGTAAAATAATGTGGCCAAAGTCATGGTCAAAAGAGGCGAATCGAACGGTTCCCTGTCAGCCAGTGTCTCTATCCGTTGATGGATCGCCGACCAATGACGGATGAGGACACACCCCCTGACACAGCCAATCACACGTTGACATCGCCACACACTGCAACCTTAATTTTGGCACGTCTACAAGTATTTATAATGTGTCATTATATAAATCTACGTAATAGTGGCACCCGACACTACTAAAAATATATTCATAATGCCATTAAGGGTCCCTATTGACCCTATAGGCAGCTTAGTTATCAGCGCCAAAACTATATGGATGGAAGCGATACTATCTGGAAAAAGAGTGTGAATAGGAGAGCATTACCCACATTACGGCGAGCTCTCAGTAAACCTTTGAATACAACTGGCTGTCATCCGTACCCCTGGCTGCTCGTCACTGGCTTCAGGGGTAACTGATGTATTTATCGGCGACTCCGAGTGTTGGATCCCGCGGCTGTTGGACCAGAGGGGAGGGTGGATCACTGCATCTAAACCCCTCCTGTTGACAGCTGCTGCCTTGCCCACTACTTCACCCACTGTTGTGGATCTCTACTGTTCTTGCTGCTTTGGCTACTATGCTTGCCACTCTTGCTGCTTTGGCTACTATGCTTGCCACTCTTGCTGCTAGTCGTTACCGTTTTCTATGAAGCAGTTGGATGTTCATTAAACTAGGAGAGGGTTTAAACTAGAGGTGAAGCACCCGTAAGACCTATCCCTGTGTTTAACAAGTTTCACAGCCAATATATTATTGCTTTCTATGTATTTTGTACTTTTAAACGTATTTTACTTCTTCTAAACGTATTCTGCAAGATCTGTAAGCATTTTTCGCCTTTCAAGAACGTATGGAAGTGCCTTTTCAGACTTTCAAACGCTCTCTCTCCCACCCTTTATGTTTCAATCTTCCTGCTCCTCACTTTTTTTTTGAAACTCAGAATAGGGAGGGTACAGAAACATTTTAGACTCCTGGTAGCAGGCAGAGACCATTCCCATCCCCATAGCTCATAAATTTTACTAATTTGGACAAATCAATCTGTTTTCAACCAGGTACAGATTAGTGCTGGGTGAACAGCGGTGATTAGTTGGTGTGTAGTCAATCTTCCCAGGCCAGTACTAGCTCTGTGCTATTGGGCTTAGTCTATCTCAATTGACGAACATCTTACGATATGTGTTTTAGATACCGTCCTCAGATCAAATCCATTACCATGAGACCTCCTCTCTCTTAACCTGAATAGTTACCTAGACATTTGTGATAGTTTGAAAGCATATTACACATCTGGTAATGGAATGGGAAATAAACCCTTGTCCTAAACATATTATTTCCGAAATTGTAACTTTTTACATTTGTAAATCTGGTTTAACGTGTATACTGGAAAATTTTCTGAAGAATTTTAGTTTTTTATAACCCGAATTATGTGGTACACAATTCTCAAATTATATATTTCAGTCTATAGCCAATAATGACGTAAACAAACGTAATGAAACCAAACCTAGTCATATCTTCAAGTTAAAGTAAAGTTAACCTAACAATTCAGAGTAAATAACGATTCTAATTATGTAGACGCTCTCAATCAATTCCCGTGAGCGTATTTTCTCTGAAGACATCTTTCTCTACCGGTAAGTTGTAAAATTTGACATTTGTACACATTCCTACTATCAGCACAATTAACTATTATGACAAAATTCTCTCTCCCCGTAAATAAGAAGCACCGATCAGCATGTCTATAATTTATGAAATATATGAAATAGTTCCCCGGCTCCATTGGGGAACCATTGGTTCCCCTCCGTTATATATATATATATATATATATATATATATATATATATATATATATATATATATATATATATATATTAAATATGACCGAAAAAGTAAGATTTTTCTCGATCTTTCTTACGTTTATATATATGTATATATATATATATATATGTATATATATATATATATATATATATATATATATATATATATATATATATATATATATATATATATATATATATATATATATATATATATATATATATATATATAATTCCCTTTCATCCCTTTGTGTGTGTATATACCTCAATAAACTTAGTGAAATTTAATTTAGGTTTAATGTTTCTGAAAAATGACGTCAAATAAAATTGTAAGGGATAGTCACACACTAGGTTAAGCCATTTGCCACCGTTTTTCGTATTTAATACTACTAACCAGATACATTTTCTTACATGCTAGGTAACTACGATTAATCACAAGTTTAATTCGGACCGAGTTGACAGAATCATCTTAACAGAAGTCTAAGTTTATCCTTTAGACTCCCCCTTCCCTAAACAATCCCCAAAGGACTTTAGACAACCTACACTTGTCTCATCCTCTGGGGGGAAGAGTAGTCATCCAGTAAATCATCGCAATATATCAGGTAACACTGATGTTCCATGCTCACGGCTAACTACAGTTTCGTGTGAAATTTCAGCCTTCAGCTCTTAGTATGAACAGTCTAGGCGTCGTCGACGTTTTTAGAAATTCATAGACAGACGCCGCTAACAATAGTTTCCACTCGCGCTGCCTCAGTGATAAATAATTGTCCTCTCTGTTGTGAGGAGACGAGGGAAAGCCAGCCAGACTTCCCATAAATGACCTAGAGATAGTCTACAGGCTGGTCAGTGCCGGCTTTCTCGCATCGTGGCTCACGTGCCTGATTTGTTGCGATTGAGCGTAGGGTGGGTACTCTTGTAGGGGCGGTGGGCAGGGCATATGCATGTTGTGTTGATATATATGACCCTGCCCCGTCAATTGCATTTCGTGCATGCTGACGGCGGGAGAGAAGTTCGTGGGCCCCATGTAGTGGGGCATGGGTCCATGGTGTCCCGTCACAGAGGCGACCATACCGGATCTGTTGTGCTGATTGGGCCCGCTGCAGCTGCTAGGGAAGTAGTGACGAGCCTCTTGCTGCTGCTGAGGACGGGACACTCCAGACCCGTGCGACGACTGCTGCTGACTAACCAGATGACCCCCGCTGAGGCAATGGTTGACTGGAGAGACGGCGTTGACCTCGCCTGAAGGGGATGTGGCTGGCATAGAGACAGCAGGCGATGCACACGGTGAACTGGGGCTCCTGTCGCGTATTCCTTTAGATTTCTGATCCTTCTTATACTTCATTCGACGATTCTGAAACCATATTTTTATCTGCCGTTCAGTCAAGCTGAGCAACGCCGCCATTTCTATTCGCCTTGGACGACACAGGTAACGGTTGAAGTGGAACTCTTTCTCCAGTTCGACGAGCTGGGCTGAAGTGTAGGCCGTACGTGCTCGCTTGGCAGGACCGCCTCCGGGCAGGGCGGCAGCGCTGGTGTTCAATCCCGCAACATCGCTGCTGACCTCGTAATCTGTGGAGAAGCTAACGTTAATGACTAATGCACAGCTTTGCTACATAACCACGTTTAATTATGTTGTTCAGTGTCCTGGCACCTATTGAGGTGTTCCATTAGCACCGCCAAAACAATTAACAAAGGCTAAAAACCATCAATTTTAATAAACAGAGACGCAGGAAAAAAAATGTTTCCTAAGCGGTTAATACCAACTTAAGTCAAGGACTTCAGATTATTTAGTAGAAAACTGCTATCATACGATAATCACCACTTCTTCGGTCTACTCTAACTTATTCATAGAATAAAGAATTTTCAATCATTTGCTCACAAATTTTTCACTCATAATTTACGTCTTTACATCATTCACAATGAACTTTGATGTGGACAGTTACCTTTATTAATAAGTATTAAGTATATTTCTCACTCCCTGATAACGCATGTTTGCAGACTCGCACATTAAGAATTGTGCTGCAACTGCATCAGACACAAAAACCAGGAAGCAGCTCGTAACAGCTGTAACTCTCACGTACTTATTTACTGCCAGGTAACAGGGGCATCAGGTTAAAAAAAACTGCCCACTTCTTCCTCCCATTACTTGTACCCAGACACAGTCAAGTGAACAGCTTCTAAAACAAGATTAACATTTGTCAACCCTTAAAATCTTTTTATCTTGCAGGTGCAAAATTGGGGAATCTTAAGAACAAATCCATAAGGGTCACGGCCCTTGTGACCCTCGTCACAGCCCTTGTGGATTTGTTCATTTGATGCATCAGGCTATTGTGATTTCTGTGTAATGAAACAGCATCTATAGCTGACGAATAGGGTTTTTCCTAACTGAAACAATGTGGGGTTACTTATTCTGCACATTTCTAATATCTCACATATTCAGTCTTAGATAGTGGTCAAGGCGGTGTCCGTCACTCTTGAGATTCTTCAACTCCGCCGCTCAACTGTCGTTTCCATTCCGAATCTCCAAGACCGATTCTCGCTATTACTGATTCTTTCCCGCGGTCACTACCTTTTCGTCCATAATGATTGGGATAGCCAACTGCAACCATGTTGTACGAGCGCACAGTCACCGATTTTTGCTTCAATCCTCCTTACCTTGTCACGGTGATTTTGTCTGACAATACCTCTAATTTGTAGACGTCTTTGGTATGATGTATTCATTCATTATGGTCACCTTTAGCAGCCAGAAGACGGGTGGACGGTTCCAAGTTAAAGGGTTTTTAAGGTATAGTTGCCATACCTTAACGCCATTAAGGGTAAAAAAGAGGTAAAACAGAGGTGGAGATTCCAATATTGAATGTATACTAGTGCATTCGCGTAGTATTTTTTGTAACTATAAAACCCGCAAATTAATTTTTCAGATGCTACCAGTTGAATATAAAAATTATCCGAAGTATAGTTGTTTACACTTAAGTATAAAGATTTATGCGAGGTACCAACAGTAAATAGGTACCTGGGAGTTAGACAGCTGCCACGGGCTGCTTCCCTGGAGGTGTGTAACAAAAAGGGTGGCCTGGTCGTGGACCGGGTCGCGGGGACGCTAAGCCCCGAAATCATCTCAAGATAACCTCAAGAAGGTTCACGCAAATCGTAATCAGTTACCTCACAGCCACCACCAAGATTCACCTCCCCTTCTCCCTTTAGTCCACTCCTAACACCTCCAGCCACTCAGACACCACAAGCATCTATATAACATCTCTCACCGCGACCCTCCTCCCTCGTGATCCATCTCTAGTAAGTGCCTGAAAGCACTCGATCCCTCAAACAATACAATGGGTGGTTACACTCAGGGTGGGCTCCAGGCGGTGTTGGTGGGGAGGGGAAGAGGGGGAGGGGAAGAGGGGGGGCAGACATTTGGTAGGTAGCAAGGATGAGGGACGGGGGGGGGGGTCAGGGGGGAGGTGGGGTGACGGGTTAGTAGTGTAGCAAGGAAGAGTACTGTAGGATGGGTAGCGAGAAGATACATTACTCATCCCGTAATCCCCTTTCCTTATAGGAGCTTTTGGCTACCGTTTCGTCTTAAGTAATTTACCCACACCAGAGGTGGAGATTCCAGTATTGAATGTATACTAGTGCATTCGCGTAGTATTTTTTTGTAATTATAAAACCCGCAAATTAATTTTTGGGCAACTGGCGCTGCCAGTTGAATATAAAAAATTATCCGGTCAGTGGAATCCTAAAATGTAGTCAAGTAATAGAAGCCTAAAATGTACCAGCAGATCCTTAGGTAATCAAGACACGTGCTTACGCATCTCTACTCGAGATGCAAAACATCGAAAGTTTTGGCGAGTAACCGCACCGCCAGCCACCTAGGAGACAACTTATTATTGTCATTCACGGCAAGAAAATCCTACCATCACAAAATAGTGGAAGGTTGCACGACAGCTCCAGGATTTTTTGTCTTTGTCTTTACTTAGCGGAAGCCTTTGAAGTCGTGCTAGTGGATTAGGAGTAAATAATGGCACAAAGATAAGCCAAAAGGGAAATGAGTAGTTCGAATCCCTTTCGCCGGCTTCGTTCGTCACTGTAGAGTCTCGAGGGGTCATTACCGAATACTTTTTAATCTATAAGGAAACACCGAGTTATACCATTTACAAACCCGAAGGCAAAAAGTCCCACATGTCTAGAGAGTATAATTAAAATAGTGCCATGTGCCGTGCAGCTAGTAAATAAAGCTTTAAACAGTGGGGTATGAGGAGGTGGTTTTAGTGAGCAGTGTGTCGGTCGAGTTTAAACATCGATTGTTGACACAACCTGACCAAACTCCGTCACCTGGTGGCCAGGCTCGGCCGCCACCACTCTAGACCAAGTTCTCACTTTCCTACATCTACAGCCATTTAGAGTTATATTTCTACGGTAATGGTTATACCACCTCAGCACGCATTTTAAAGACTTGAAAAGACAAATATATAGTGGAAGTAGAGTTCCGATTAAATGCAAAGATGAATTAAAGATTCATTTCATAAACTTATGATTAAGAAAATACGTGCTAGAATAATCATTTTCAATCATATTTATACATATAAATAAATGTATATAATTATATATATACATAAATAATTATATATATATATATACATAAATAATTATATATATACATAAATAATTATATGCGAACAAGCCTGAATGGTCCCCAGGCCATAAATAATTATATATATACATAATTATATATATACATTATATATATACAAATGTATATGTATGTATATTTACATTTATATACAAATATATAATATAAATGTATAATGTAAAAAAAAAATCAGACATCTAACGAAACAAAGAGAAAAAAGTATATAAAACAAAACTACTAAACGGGAGATACCTGGATAATAGCCCATCCTGTCAAAGGCCAAGGCTGAAGGGAGGAGGAAGGAGGCAACTAGAAAACGATTACAACTAAGAATGTGGGGAGGGGAGATGGGGAAACCAAAAAAAAATAAATTTTGAAAGAAAACCAAAGAAGGAGAAACAAATATTAACTTGACAGGCTTCTTCAACTTAAACAAGACAACTTGAAGGCCAAGTGTGTCTCACGCTTATTTAAACTGACATTAATTTTCTTAAATCCTCAGATAATTTTTATCCCCAGGCTTATCCAGAATGGTTAACTCTTGTAACTAAAACCGATCATTTTATTCACGCGGGAATTGGATGGTTTAGCGAGCGGGAACATTTTATGCTCTCAATTTATAATCTTGAAATTACGGTATGTGCTTCTGTGAAATTATGTGCTTCTGATACATCTCGTTTTCCGATAGTATTCAAATTAACCAAATAAAAATCTAAATGGAAGGAAAAAGATAGTGTAGGAGCACAGATATTTGTTGCCTAATTTGATAGCGGAGCTTAGTTGTTACAGAAAATTCATTACAATTATCCGTAAAAGACGTAAGACATTTATACGTAAGAAACGTAAAAGACCTAAGAGAAATACGTCCGTAAGAGACGTATGGGAGACGTATCTAACATCGGGGTAGCCAAGACGGCCCTGTGACTCGTCAGCTAGTGCCAATTCCTAGAGACTATTTCCTTAACATACATACACATCTATAATCTAAATGTTTTTATTTATTATATACACTTGCAATTAGAAAAAATAGAAAAAAAGAAATGAGAGAAGTGTAATGAGACAGAGAAAGAGAGAGAAAGACAGAGTAAGAGTGTGGACGAGAAACAGTTCCATCTGTGGCCGGGAGTTCCGCCTGGTGATCCATCACAGCCCATTGACAAAATCGAAGCAGGAATTAATTTTGTCCATATCCCTCAGGGTTTTGTGGTGGGTCAGATGTCCGGTCGCAGCCTCCACCGGCCGCCGCCTCTTCTTCCTCCACATTCTTGTACATTTACCAGTATTATTGCTAGCTGTGGGGAGTGAACTGGTGTGTAATATTATGCAAATGAGGTGGATGCAAGTGCCTCCGCCCGTTATGGTCAAGGTTATGTGATACAAAAGAAAAATAATGCCACCTTTCAATTTTATCGCCTGGGAATCGAACCAGGGCCAGTGGAATGTTCGCCTATTTGTGCCTTCCGGATCGAACTCCTGTTTTTGAGTATGTGTGCTGCGGGGAGGAAGGGAGGGGGTACAGGAGAATATTTGCTTGTGTTGTAAATATTATGTTGTAATAAGTAGCACTGGGTGGACTTTCGGGTGCATATTCATCTACATTTTTTTTGCAAGGGATTGAACCTTTGATCTGCAGTGTAACTAAGGTGTAGAAAATCGTATAAAGTATTAGAACATAAGAATTAGGAAACATTACAGCAGACCTATTGGCCTCTCTCGTCGTTGTACCTAACACATTTTTTAAACCAGTTACTCTAAATATACATGAGTAGTGTTAATTCAACGATGAGGTTACGTTACTCATGCATATTTTGGCCACTGGGGTAAACTGTTTACTTCAGTAGTGCTACCTGTCTATTCAACTCATCTAGAACCCAATAACCCACATGGGCCTCGTAGTACAGTTGGCTTCCCTTTCGACTCATAATCGGGAACTGAGGCA